TATTACCAATTTGCACCGTAGAGGCTCCTTTGTAATGGTCATGCATTTGGTCTTATTTGTGGAAATTTGCATGTTAAGTTTTTCTGTCTGTCTGTTAAAAGCTTGTAGCATTCTTTGGAGGTCGTCCTCTGACTCTGCAATAAGTACTGCGTCATCGGCATATTTGTGCATTCCCATTCGATATCCTGATCCAGTATTCTTGACGGTTTTTATTACTTGATCCATGATTGTGTTGAATAACAGAGGGCTGAGACTGTCGCTTTGGCGAATACCAGTTGTAGATCGAAGATGCTGCGTTAGTAGGGGTAGAAGGCCGATTCACCATCAGGAGCAGGAGCAGAGCGCACTGCGCATGCGCGTAAATCAGCTAGGAACATGTAAAATACGCTAATAAACAAGAATAAACAGGTTTGGTTTGGTTTGAACAGCTTTAAAACAGAAATAAACAGGTATGAACAAAAAATGAACAGGTCTGTTGTTTTAAGCTAAAAAGCGGTTCAAAGCTGATCAAAAGCTGTTCAAACCAAACCAAACCTGTTTATTCTTGTTTATTAGCGTATTTTACATGTTCCTAGCTGATTTACGCGCATGCGCAGTGCGCTCTGCTACTGCTCCTGATGGTGAATCGGTCTTCTACCCCTACTTGCGTTAAGGTAAAGCTTGTTCTTATTTGGGTTGTTGTGTTTGTGTTTAAGTCCTTGATAAGTTCTGTGAGTTCTTTCGAGACATTACTGCTTTCCAAGATGGTGATGATGTCTTTTAGTTGGACTCTATCAAAGGCCTTTGTTAAATCTATAAAACATAGATAGGCTGGAGAGTTATATTCTAAGGATTTTTCAACTAGTTGCCTGAGTATGAATAGTGCATCGGTAGTTGATCGGTTTCATCGGAATCCTTGTTGTTCCTCGCTTATTGGCACTATTGAGGAGATTTTGTCCGCAATGATCTTAGTCAGAAGTTTTAGCGAGGTGCTCAGTAATGTTATTCCTCTATAGTTTGCTGGGTCTGTTTTATCTCCCTTTTTAAAAATGCTTTTGATCTAATAGTATAAACTTAAAATTATTATTAGATCAACATTTTGATAGTCTCAGCAACGTTTTTTTATCTTTTAATTGATTTTCATTTTGTATACAAGGGGTCCAAAAGTACAATGAATTGCTTCGAGAATAGTACGATACTGCTTAAGGTTGTGCTCTACTTGACTTTAGATCAAAAAATAAATATTTTCAAACTTTCTTTCTCATTTTTTTAAAATATTTTTAGCACATAATTGTTCACAGCAATTTCATTTTATTCCAATATCAACTGATGCCATTAAATAAACTGAAAAATTAAATCTAAATTATTAATTCAAGCTAAAAAAGAACAGTAAATATTAAATTTCGTTTAATATTTTTAGAAAACTAATCCATATTATGTTATCTTGTGTGCTATTATTAGAAAATTTCAGGGAAATCTATATAAAATATGTTTTTTGGACTATGACTATAAAATTTAATGAAACATGGTTTAATAAAAAGCCTGTTACTAGAATTTTTGTATTTAATGTATGTTTTTATACGAAATTTCGTTTAATATAACAACTGCGGGAATAATTACCTTAAATTAAAGTGATTTTTTAGCTTAACGTGATGTCACTGCAGCTTAAAATTGCCAGAATAAAACTTCGAATATTACCAAGCGTTATGGCGCATGAATATAAAGACTCATTAAAATACTATTTATACCAGTTTTCTTAAATTTTGTACAAGCGTTATGCAGAATCTATACTAATAATGTGTTATCTGTGCTAATATATGAAATCTTTAAGTGACTGACATACTGATTAATCACGATCCTGCCCAAACCACTCAACGTAAGAAGCTCAATTTTGGCATACAGGTTGATTCTAGGGTGTAGAGGTTCGATAAGAAGGGATTTTTCGAAATTCCAGTTCCACGAGGGTGAAACCACCCCTCAAATATTACAATATTTTTTATTTAAAAAACGGTTAGTCTTTCGGGAAAACGCTTGGACAAGCATAATTTATTTGGTTTTTTTACAGATTTTGAAATTTTTTAAAAATCATACAGGGTGTTCCAAGAAGTTGGGTAATTTCTTAACCACGATTCTGCTTAAACTGCTTGACGTAAAAAGCTTATTTTTGGCAAACGGATTTTTCGAAAGTCAAACTCCAACGAGATGAAACTACCCCTCAAATATTACCAAGTTATATAATAATATCGCCACACATTATCCAGCTTGTATGTTAATGGAAATTCTTGCTTTGCTTTATCTTCACCATTACAAATGATTAATTCGACGCGAACGAAGTCGCGGGTACACGCTAGTCAATAGATATAGCTAAAAATATCAGCTTGTCTAACGATGTGGTTACACTAATTGCTTTAAAAAAATAAAGCAGACATATTTTGGTCTGTGTCTTCATATACAACCTTGTTATTTTGATTTTACTCTATCTAATTGCTGTTGCTAACGATCTTACGTATATGAAACAGATATAAACCGTTTATTCGATGTAAGGTAAATTGGCAGTTGTTTTCCGGACTGTCTTAAAGTAGGTGTAATTAAACCATTATATAAAGGGGGTGATAAGGAGCATATAGGCAATTATAGACCGATATCTATATTATCAGTTTTTTCTAAAAAACAGTTATAAAAAAACGTTTGTTAAAATTCTTTCTAAAATTTAACATAATATCAAAAAATCAATTTGGTTTTTTAGAAGGCAAATCAACACAGGATGCCGTTCATGCATTGACATCATCAATCTATGATGCTCTAGACTCGGGACATCGAAGCCTCTGTATATTCGTAGATCTCGCTAAAGCACTTGATACGGTAAATCACAAAATACTTTTAGACAAATTAGAGAGATATGGAATACGAGGAAACAGCCTTAGTATTTTAAAAAGTTACCTTAAGAACAGATCACAATATGTTAATTTGGGAGATATTAATAGCAAGCCAGGAAGGATTGAGCATGGTGTACCACAAGGCACTGTGTTGGGTCCGTTATTATTTGTTATTTATATTAATGATCTACTTACAATTAATACAAAAGCAGAAATTTTTAGCTACGCAGACGATACAGCGATATTTTATAAATCTAACTCTTGGTCGAATTTGAAAAGATTAGCAGAGGAAGACTTTCAGACAATTAATACCTGGTTTATCAAAAACAAATTAACATTAAACTATGACAAAACCAAATATATATCCTTCTCTATTTATAAAAATAATGAACCAGATTGGGACAGATTACAAATAACCAATAATAATGTAATACCGGAATGTGATTTTATAAAATATTTAGGGGTTACAATCGACAAACATCTTAAATGGAATATTCATATTAATAATGTAACTAAAAAATTGCGAGGATTGTTGCCGAAATTTAATTATTTGAAAAGTTTTTTGGACGTCAAACAGCTTAGAATCCTGTACTCATCCCTTGTACAATCTCATTTGACATATGGAATTCTAGGGTGGGGTGGTGCGGCTGAATGTCATTTAAAGAGCTTGTATTCTGTTCAAAAATGGTTCATAAAAATTATTTACAATAAAAAGAAAACTTTCTCTTCAAACGTTCTCTTTAAGCAGGCGCATCTACTGGATATACGTCAGCTATACTGCCTAGATGTTTTAAAATTCATTTATCAGGGGAAAATATCTATTGAACATGTTGACCATGAATATGAAACTAGACATAAGGCGTTTAACAAACCTAGTTTATGCTCTAAAACTGTTGGACAAAGATCTTCAAAGTTTTTTGCACCTCGATTATATAACATCTTACCAACCTTCCTAAAGGATGTTAAAAGTTACTCTGGTTTTAAAAAAGGGGTATGCAAATGGATGGTTGATCGAGGTAGAGATATATTTAATGACCTAGTTAACTTAAAATATACAAAATAAATTTTCATAAATGCCAGTGAACATTATATATTGTCATAATTAAATTGTATTCCTTTCCACATACAAGTAATTCTATTACTTTGTGGTAATTCTTTTAACGTTTATTTTGATTCTTAAAATTTAAATATAGTTTTAGTTAAATTGTACTTGTTTAGTTAGTTAAATTGTAATCTGTTTTAATTTCAAGAGAAAATGTTTAATAAACGTTATTATTATTATTATTATTAGTGTGCTGTGATAACATTAAAAATAATCACAATAAAGAAAATTTACCAAAACCCACACAATATAATCAACTCGAACAACCAATTAGTATAAGTCTAATTGAAGCGTTAAGTTCAAAACCAGTCTTATCCCAAAAACGTTGTTTCGAGATAATATATATGCAAAAACTGTTTTATAGCAAATGTTTGAAGAGTTATTTCACAGAAAAAACTCGTGTCCATTGAGTGGAATCATTATTTTGTCCCCGTTTTTCTACAAATAAAAATGAATATTTAATTTTTAAAGAGAAAAAACACAGAAACAATTCGGATAAGGTGGGTTTCGTTGCAGTATGATGCATATTGCAGGTTTTGCTGCGGCAAGATATTTGCATCCTAACTTGATTTATCAAAAATGCGGGATTTGCAACAATAATGACAATAAAAAGCAAATAAATATATGTGGATAAGACAGATTTTGCTGCAGTAATTTAAATTCAAGTGAATTTTATATAGGAATAGACGCCTATTGCTTCAGTTTGGGACTATGTTTGTGTAGATTTAAGGGTTTGTTATTAATGCATGTCATTAGGCCATTTTTTTAAATGGAGAAGGCGGGTTTTGCAACTTGACGCCACAATTATAAACAATAATTTATAGAATAGCTACTCGAAATATTAGTAGTCATATAAAGGTTATCTATTTGCTTACTGTGACGTCGTTTTCATTCGTTTTTTAACGAACTTTATACCGTAATTATTAAAATAATTGTCTATAAGATTTTATCAAATATAGAATAATTTATAGTTAATAATATCATTTAGTAAAATATTTAGAAATATTGCAATGTAAAACTAATGACTTTGATTCTCTTTCTAGGTTAGGGTCTTAGTGAAAAATGGATCTTTACAGTTTTTTGAATGTGCAAGCCTTCCTGTTGGTTCCTTTTGTGATTTACATACTGTTTTCTAGAAAACCTAATGGAAGAAGTCTCTACACGAACAGAGGTAAAAATATATTTTTTTTTAAAACGTTGTCAGAAAAGTAGTATTTTTTGTGACGTGATAATATAAAAAATGGTCAAGTGCCAGTCGGACTCGCGCACAAAGAGTTCCGTACCATTCATTATCTATACATTAGATATTATATTATTATAAACTTTCTTTCCGATTTAGCTGAAATTTTGAATGCGGGTATAAGTCATTTAAAAAAAAATGAAGTAACACATTACTAAAAATTGTATTAATCTATACTAATACATAAAATCCTTAAATGACTGACATACTGATTAATCACGATCCTGCTCAAACCACTCAACGTAAAAAGCTCAATTTTGGCATACAGGTTGATTCTAGGGTATAGAGGTTGGATAAGAAGAAATTTTTCGAAATTCCAGTTCCAAGAGGGTGAAACCCAAGGACTGTATATATTCTAAAGGAGTGTTCGATCGCGTCCAATCGCCGCTGTCGTAGTCGCCATGGAATGCTACGTCACGCGCTGACCAGCGCTCCACAGTGCGGCGGATGGTTATTCTAGCGGGACAAAATCTCAAGAGCAATGTTTGGGGCTTAAAATCTAAGAACGTAGCAAATGGTCTAATATATGGCAACTATATGGTTAAATTTATTTATTTATTAACAACTTAATTTATCAATAAATAAATACAAGGTAATAAAACTATGATATTATACATGACACACAAAAACCGTATTGTAAACTATTGCCAAATACATAAAATTATAATATCAGGTGAAATACTTACAAAAAACTCTTTAGCAGTTATTTTTTAATTACTTTGTAATCTTGTGACACCCTCTATATTTTATTTTAAAAAATTATATTTTATTTTAAAAATATTAATTAAGATAGATATTTTAATTTTAATTTTAACACTCGGTAATTGTAAATTCATATATAGTAAGTATCTAAGACAATTTTTTTTAAAGTCAGTGCCTTTTGATGGAGTTGTTTTGTTTTTATACTATCCGATTGAAATGAAACTTTTTGGGCATTCACCTGTTTAGCTTGAACTCCCTGTGACTATAACTACCTGTGTTGGTAACTATTGGTAACTCAAAAGATCTACATCATTCAATATATCGATATTTGAAAAAAAGTGAAAGTTTGATGTCTGCAGAACAAAGGCACGAAGGATTTTAACAAATAATATACGTACAGTAGAAAAGTACATACCTTTGGCAATCTTCAACATAATTTGCCTTTGGAATAAAATGTATAAAAGCACTTGTAAATATTTTGTTTTCGTATGATCTCTGCCTTGCTGAGCAGAAAACGACCAAATTTGGTTGATAAAAATGTATCGAAATACAAAGAATATTCATGCATTTTTATATCGATTGGAATGTCTACTATTTATTCTTACAGTACACATTTTTTGGCTTATTTCTAACCAAACGCTTTTGTCCCGCTAAATTTATCTTCCAACGCACTGTGCGCTCGTCCGTCAAATGCAAAAATAACTGTCACTGTCCAAAATCTTTAGCGCCAACTTCAACTCGGTCTCCAGATGACGTAAAAAAACTGACAGTGCAGGAAGATAGGAACCGAACTATCCTTATCTCTATAGTATCCTTGGGGGTGAGCCACTTTTGAGACGCACCCGGTATATGTAGAATACTTGAATAAAGTGGATTCATTTGAAAATTATCCTCCTATATAATCACGTAGATAATCGCTTGTTACTTTTAAAAAATAAAACCAAGCTCCAAAAAAATCGAACAAACAGAAAAACCTATTTTCACAACGTTATAAACAGTTTCCCTGTAATCGAAGCTTTTGATAAAAAACGACAGTAATTAAAATTAGAGATTGGATTGACGTGAAATGGATATTTGACGCTTAGATTTAATCAACGTGTTGTATGGAACACTGATTCAGTTTCAAACTGATCAGGTTTTAAAATTTGTCAGGAAATGCTAGTAGATACGAGAAAATTCTAATTAAATTGAGTAGTTAATTTGTTGACTATTAGACACCAGATACAGGGTGGCTCATCGAAAACGTTTTTTTTTTTTCAAAAAATCCCAAAACACGTTAATTTTGTTAGTGAGGGGGACAACTTTTGCACCAAAAATGATTGCAAAATCTTCAACCCTCTGGGGCTGTCATCCCCCAACTTTTTTCAAATGGGGGGTCAAGTGGCGCCGCAATGAAAAGAGTTTTCTATTCTCTATATTTCCCCGCTTCGTTTTTGAAAATCGGTCGAATATGAAGGATTGAAATTTGAAAAGTTTATTTAAACATTTATCAGAGTAAATGATAAGGATAAATTCCTTCGACCAATTTGTTGTTTTTTCTTATTATTTCTAGATGTTTACGCCTTTTTTCACTTGTCACAAGGTTGAACGATCAGGTGCGGTTGTTGCTAGATATCTGTTCTGTTACTTGTGCGTTGAAGTTCTTCTCAATATTGTGACAAAACTTTCCAGATTTGTCCGTTAACATGGTAGTGTGGCCTTTACATAATTATAATTAAAATAATTTATTGAGCGGTAGGCAGAACTTGGATAATGAGAACACCGACCTTTCAGAGCGTAAATATAGTTTATCTTTTACATATAAAAACAAAATATAACCAGCTAAAAATCGAAATTAAGGCATCGCACTTTTATGGCAAGGGCTCTTTCTAAATTCAGTTACTATAAACTCTATTGCCACTTACCTTATTACGTCAACATCCATCAGCAATACATCAACAACAAGAACCTGTCGAAGATTTCATTGATCCCCTTGTAGATCTACCTCTTCAGGACTCATACTTTGGATTGAACCACTCGACCGGTTATCACAGTGTTCTTTTAAATAACTTAATATTTTAGTGATTAGGTGAAATAAAGAAATAAAATGCCGATTTTTCACAACACCTAACTATATTTAATATAAAGAAATAAATAAATAAAAAATAAAGAAAAAGATTTAACAACAAAACATTTATAATTAATGAAAAAGAAAGAAATTGAATCAAAAATAATTAATGACAATTAGAGAATTGAAATTAAAACTCATAGATATGAAAGTTAAAAAAAAATACAAAATATTCTTCTTATTAGTCCAATTTAAATTATCTACAATTCGCATACACTTTCAAATCTCTCTTAGGATTATCGTTGGCAAAATATTAATATATTAAAAAAATATTCACTGAACAATTAAATTGAAATTAGAATTTAATAAAAAGAACAATTGCAAAATAATCACTTATGCAATGACATCTAAAATTTACTAAAGCCTTTAGAACAAACAGAAAGTCTTAAATCATTAATAAAGAAAAATATTAGAGAAAATCTAAAAACAACAATTAAAATACTGTAAGCATGAATAGTTTAGAATTTCCTAACTTGAGAATTTATTTGAGAAAATCTTTAGATAGAGAACTTACTAAATCAATTAAAAAGACCACTGGATAATATAAGATCTACACGGAGTAAATTTGACCGTCTAATTTAAAAGTCAGTACCGAACTAATTTTGAAGATGAAAATACTGATGCTGGTACTATCTCGGAAAGGCGTTACTACATCTTCGGCACGACCCTGTTTGAGGAACCTTCGAATACCCATCCAAATGCATATTTCGCACCTTTTAATTGGCCGAAGGGCTCCTTCCCCGAAAGATCCCTAGACTTCTTTCACCCTTGTTTCTGGTCCTTGTCCCGAGAGGGCATCAGCATGTCCTATTTATTAATTAAATGTAATTTTTAAACCCTTCCGTGTAAATCTTACTCTTTTACCAATTTGCTGAAAAACATTCATAATCTACCTTAACTAATACAAATGATATCGTGACATAGGATTACCTTAAAAAAACCGCCTAGAAATGAAATCTTTATTTCTTTATTCATTTGTCTATTTCTATTTAACTCTAGGAACAGAAAAAAGATAATCCTATTTCTATCATTTTCAGACATTCATCTCGTGAACATTTGGATTCTGATTTTAAAACATATATTTAATACTTTTAATTTTCAATTTAAAACCTCTAGCGAGGGGATGATTTAATTTTACTTATTTCCTTAAGCATGCCTACGTGCTTTTTCTGCGTTGTTTATTTTGAGTTATCCCTAGGGTACACACAACTGGTACCACTCTGTCAAATAGAGTTTTGATAATAAGGGATGAATGTTTGTTCTACTTTACCCTCGTTTATGTGACTTTAAATTATTTAGAAGATTGTATTATTTGCTCAGTTAGTTTCTCAGGATATATGCGTACTTTTAGAGAGTTTATGTGTCTTGAATATCATTAGATTATTTGCTTAGGCCTTTTAAAATTCGTTTGCCTATGTCAACTGATAACTTCGTAAACTGAAATGGTCCCATCTTAGAATAACAAACCAAAAAGATAAAATTTTACAGAGCTTGATATTATTCTATTACAATATCGTTAAACTGACCCACAATAGAATTTCCAAAAATACCAGCCCACATGTTTAATTTCTGAGGGTTTTGTGTGTGCACCTCGTGAAAAACCCTAGGGTTGTCCTCAGTCCAGTACCGAGAGTTGTGCCGATTAATTACACCGTTCAAAAAGAAAGTACACTCATCTGAAAAACACAGATCGAATAGGAAATTATTATTATTCACCACTCGTTCACTCATAGTTTTACAAAATTGCAAGCGACGATCAAAATCGTCTTCGTTGAGTTCCTGTACCAACTAAATTTTGTGCGGGTGGAACTTGTGTTTTTTAATATCCTTTGGACACTTGTACGATTCACGCCGGTCTTATTGGCAAATTTTCTTGTACTCAGCCACAGCTCAGCGTACTATCCATGGCAACTTGGCCCAATACGAATACCTCCATAGCTTCATTTACTACAGGATTTTCTCTCTGCCTCTTTTTATTCATAACGGAACCAGTTTCACGAAATTTTGCTACTAACTAGGGAACAATTTTGCCATAAAGGTGTTTGTCAGGATGGCATTCATTGACTATCTGCGCAATCCGATACATTCATTATTTTTAAAATAAAGTTCGATTATTTCCACTTTTTATGCAAGTGAGTACACCATAATTGTTAAAAAGTTTAACGACATTGAGAAAAACTTCAACGCACAAGTCACAGAACAGCTATCTAGCAACTGCCGCACCTGATCGTTCAACCTTGTGGCAAGTGAAAAAATGCGAAAACATCTAGAAATAATAAGAAAAAACAGCAAACTGGTCGAAGGAATTTATCCTTAAGGTGCGTATTCATTATCCGAACGAACGAACGAACGAACGAACGAATGAAAGTGCGGTATATTTAGACGGGGACCGAACGCATGCGGCCGTTCGTTCGGTCGTGCGCTCGACCATCCGCTTCGAGTCGGTACATCAAAGGCGTTCGCCTGCGTGCGCTTTCAGATTTAAGGTGCGTATTCATTATCCGAACGAACGAACGAATGAAAGTGCGGTATATTTAGACGGGGACCGAACGCATGCGGCCGTTCGTTCGTTCGTGCGCTCGACCATCCGCTTCGAGTCGGTACATCAAAGGCGTTCGCCTGCGTGCGCTTTCAGATTTAAGGTGCGTATTCATTATCCGAACGAACGAACGAATGAAAGTGCGGTATATTTAGACGGGGACCGAACGCTGCGGCCGTTCGTTCGGTCGTGCGCTCGACCATCCGCTTCGAGTCGGTACATCAAAGGCGTTCGCCTGCGTGCGCTTTCAGATTTAAGGTGCGTATTCATTATCCGAACGAACGAACGAATGAAAGTGCGGTATATTTAGACGGGGACCGAACGCATGCGGCCGTTCGTTCGTTCGTGCGCTCGACCATCCGCTTCGAGTCGGTACATCAAAGGCGTTTAGACGTCATGGTACAAAGAATACACGGTATGATCGATAGCGGCTCCAATTTCGTTCAGTTCGCGCATACCACCTGTGACGTCACTAGGAAAATGAGGAATAAATAAAAAATAAAGAAAGTTGACAGGAGATCTGCATTTTTGAGGTTATGGTTAAGAATTTTTTATTTTTAAGACTTTTTAGTTCGTTTAATTTAATAATTACTAAAACCAGCAGTTCCAAAAATATATTTAAGAATAATAATTATATATTAACATGGATTTGGACGATAATAGGTAAAAATACTAAATTTATTTCTATATTCGGTATAAAATTGTTTATTCGGTTTTTAGTTTGCGATGTTTATGGTAAATAATTTTCATTTTCATTGCCTCTGAATTCACATGAGGACAGAGTTGAGGATATCTATGGAAAAGTAACCACAAGAGGAATTGTTACATCATTTAAAAAATGTTGGGAAGTTTATTGTTTCCCATCGAAAAGTAGAAAATGCCAATGCAGATGAACGTATTGTAATTGTGATAGAAGTAATTCTAAGGGTGAAGTTTATTATAATTAGTGGAAGTAATACCAAGGGTGAAGTTTATTATAATTAGTGACCTGTGCTTCTTTTTATATGTAGATGTTTCTGGTTTTGAGAATAAATCGGTTGAACGACACCCAAAATTTAAAGGAAGTATTTGCATACCCAGAATATGCCCATCAAGGATTATATAGCTCAAATTTCCTTTAATGGTAGGCAATTATTCAATGCAAATTAACTTTTTAAGTGACTGAAATATTAAATAGTTTACAATATGGTATATCACTAAAAATATATTACTTTTAGGTACAATTAGGGCCCGATACATTTCAAAAAGTAGAATATTATTTTATATTAAATGAGGTATTGTACTAACAATCAATTTATATTAATAACGGAGATTAAAAATAACAGAATAAATAGTTCTTTTTCTTATACTACAAAAATAAACTATAGAATACAACAGTATTTAAAAAAAATATAAAAGTGATGTTCCGGCCGAGATTCGAACTCCGGTCTCTCGCTTCCTAGCCCGACTCCTATGCACTGCTCCATAGTAACTTGCTTAGCGATAATTCAATGACGGTATATAAACAAAAAAAAAACAGGTTTATAACAATATATTGACGATTTGAACTGGCGCGCGAATGAAGAAATGCGTGCGGTCTTCTCGTGCGGTTCTATCGTGCGGTCCCCGTCCATACCACTAGCGAACATTCGTTCGTTCATAATGAATACGCACCTTTATCATTTACTCTGATAAATGTTTAAATAAACTTTTCAAATTTCAATCCTTCATATTTTCTCAATGACTCGACCGATTTTCAAAAACGAAACGGGAAAGTATAGAGAATAGAAAGCCCTTTTCACTGCGGTACCACTTGACCCCCCTCCATTTGAAAAAATTGGGGGCTAACACCTCCGCTTAGAGGGTTAAAGATTTTGCAATCATTTTTGGGGCAAAAGTTGTCCCCCTCACAAATACAATTGACGTGTTTTTCGATGGGCCACCCTGTATATGTCAATTTTTGACATTTTTGCCTAATTAAACAAGCATTTTTTACGAATAATTTGGTACCACCCACTTGGTATTTCGAGTCAAATTGTCGTTATGAACCGCATGTTACAATTTGAAATAAACCATATGCGAAAATGTCAAAAGTTCGAAATCATTTTCTATTGAGTAACGTAAAAAAATACTGCGGCTACCATTAAGAAATTAAAAGTTTGTAGTCATATCGGGTGAAACAGGAAGTGACCAAAAACAATTGAATACCTACATCAATCAAACCTAATTTATGTCATATACTAACATACGAAATCTAGGTTTTTTTATCTGAAAAAAATATAAAAAAGTTATAAGGGTGAGCCACTTTCGAGACGCACCCGGTATATAGAAAATTTAGCTCTTGTTTATAGACTCCACAAAATCCAATATTCCAAGCGTATGAAGTATCTCCTTAATTGTGACGATGTTCAAATTATAGTCTATTAGAATCTCGTTTGTAGTAATTCGAAAGATGCTTGAGTGCACACGAATTCAATTTGGTAGTATAAAATCGGTATAAAGTAAGAGATCATAAATACCAAGTAAACCATAGGCGTTACCAAATATTTATTGCTAAATAAATAATTTAGAAAATCTGATTGTTAGAAGCCAAGCATTGGGGCGACCGGTTGGTTTTGTATGAAGCAATCCACGATCAAAATTTTTTTTATAGTCCTTTAGAAAAATCTTTGCGTTTTGCATAATAATCTTTAATCTTTAGTTGATTAAAAAAAGTATGCCATTAATATTGCAAATTATATTTTATTCCCTCATAGTATATTTCTATTTAATTTTTTGATTATGTAACGTGCACTTTGTTTACTCACTTGTCTCGTCGAACTACTTGAATCCATTTTTGAATCCATGGAATATTGACATTTTAGATTGTTTTTAAAGCAACAAATGTACAAAATGTACAGACTAGTAATATTATCGTTTTTAGCAAAACGATAATATTACTAGTCCATTTGTATGCAAAAAGAAAACTATTTAAATCTTTATAAAAGAGTATACCATTAATTAAATATAACACCATTATTTCCGCCCATATACTAATTAATTACATACTTAATTGTGTTCGTTAATAAATTATTATAAATAAATGTGGATTTGAGTCAGAAATCAATATAATAATAAGTTACCAAATTAAAGTCTCTGTTCTTATAAATAAGCATTTATTAAAAAATGAAATATCTTTTAAGGTGTTAGTTTTTATCACACTGTCTAATGCCCATACAAAATTCAGTTTTTTAGTATTTGGAGCAATTATTATTAATCAACGCAAACAGTCAGTTAATGTGGTTTGAATACTGGAATCATATTAATTGGTCCTCTTTAACAAATATTTAAACAGTTTTTTTATTTTTTAAAGAAATAAACGAATTATATCGACAATATTAGTATCTGTACTCTTTAAAAATTTGGTACATCTTTAAAAATAATCTAAAATGTCAATAGTCCATGGGTATATTGATAAATAAGTTCTAAATTACAAGAAAATGCATTTTCTACGGAAACTTAAAGAGATAGGTAAAAAATGGTATAATATTATTTGATAGACAATTAAATTGTGCATCTGATTCTCGTAAAATATACAGGGCGTTCCATTTAAATTAAACAAGTTATTGCCATTTGAAGCTAATAATTATTTAAAATAAATTTTTAGACACTCTGTATAAGGTAGTATTATTTTTATTATTGCAACACAATAACTGATCAATAAATAAACTTCAGTAATTATTTAGCATTAAAAACTTTGATACCTTTGAAGAAATGAAGCCTTAAAATTTTTACTGCAATTTCACAAAATTGAAAATGTTTCAAAAACGGTAAGGTTTAAGTATAATAAACCTTAATCAAATTTACCTTTATTTTAATCGTAGAAACTAAAAATGTAATAATATACAGGGTGTTCCATTTAAAAAAATACAGCTTTGATATTTTTTACTTATTTGGGACACTCTGTATCTTGTAAAATTATTTTTAAATTGTACCTCTAATAGTCCTTCATCGAACCCGAAACTTACAATTTGTAAAAATCTCATCGTTTAGCTACAATACTCCGTGTCGTATGTGGTGAACAACCCTGTAGAGTGTTTTATTTAAGAATTGCCAAGATGTCCGGACTGTTTTTAATTAGTAGGTAATCGTGTTTAAATTTCAGATATATTTTATCCAGTCAAATACTACTTATCCAGAAAAATAGTCAAGCAGTTTCAGGATAGAAATAAGAAAAAGAGACAAAAATATGGATACAGCAGTGAGTTGGAATTCAAGAAATTTGACAATGAACAGGTAGTTTTCATTAGTTTTGAGTACTATTATTATATGTTCTCTTTTTTATATCAATAAATATTGACCCTAAAAGAAATGTAGCTTGAAATATTCCCTAAAAAGTGTTGAAAACCCTCGTCAAAATAAATTCGGAAGGGTCAAAGATAATAACTAAAAAAATATATAGACAGTGAAGCGGACACAATTTTTATTAACGCCTGTTTGGGTATTGATAACGTACAAACAGTGGCGGTTCATCGATAATTTACTCATCAGACATGTGCACATGAATCCCCAAATTTAATACCTTTTTTTGAGAAAAAAATAATTTTATCTCTTAGTGCATTAATATAGGCTTATATCTTTCCAAAAAAGTCTTATTACGTTAATTAAGACCACTTTTTAAAAATATAAAGAGTTTTACAGGGTGTCAACCTTAACAATATTTTGAAGATATATAAATTCCCCATTGAACCCCGGAAAAATATATTGGGTGTTCCATTTAAAATAAAGGAGTAACTTGCTTTTAAAAGTGACTAATGTTCCATATTAATTTTGTCTCACCCTGTATAACTTTTCGGGTCAAATTTCAATTTGGTTTAACACACAATGGTTAGTGTAATTAAATATCAGGCTATACAAGGTCAACTAAAATTTAGGTAGCTGTTATCGAAATTTAAAATTTACTCTTCATTTTCACAAAATGTGAATTATGTCAAAATCCTTAGATTTTAGGTATATGCTTCTTTAATAAAACCCACATATTTATGTTATTTCCTTTAAAATCAAAGAAGCGATTGCCATACATTACTAACATCTACAGATGCACGAGCAATGATACATAAATAACTATAAAAATAAACTGCATGCGAATAGCTAAAAGATTATTACAGAAAGCTTAAATCTTATTTTACATAGATCTACATAATTAAACTTGAATTAAATATTGATGCAGCGTATGCTCACGAAGTTGAACAAGTTTAAAGCCATGTGCTCTGTTTTCGAGCGTAAATTTGAATGTAGGAGACAGATTTCTCTATTTTCCGGAATTTTCCAACTTTGTGCAGATTATCCATGCTCCCTTTGATGCATTTTTTAAATTTGTCCGTGTTTGTCTGGTTTCAGTGGTCGTATTTCCAAAGTTTCCGTGCAATGGACGAAACGGGAAATGGACTGACATTAAAACTGACTGTCCGGCCGAGCAAAGTGGCCGAATTAATTCTGATACTGCGGCTATCTAATGGGAAAATATACACTATACCAGGTAGGTCATAACTAGGGTTCCCAATCTCGGGGTATGTTTATCCCCGAAATCCCGATATTAAATCATTTAAAAAATAATTTAAATCTATTAAAAACTTTAGTCCATTAAAAATCGTACTTTATTATTTATACTAAGTAGAACCTCCACATCTAAAAGTTATACAGGGTGTCCAAAAATTAATGCAACAAAATTTGGTCATAGATTCTTGAAAAAAAATTAGGTGACCCGTATTTTTTATTTTTGGCCAGTGGCCCCCCTTTTCAGATTTACAGCCCCCTGAATTTCGCCCCTTAAAAGAGTTTTTTTTCAATATCTTAGGGCCCTGTTGGACGAAAATCACTAAATTTGGTACACGTTGTTTTACCATAAAATGAGATTTTTTGATGCTATTAACTTTTTTTTATTTTCATCAGTGCCGTCCCTACGGTATTTACTATATACTAATAATTTACTATATACTAAATATTATTGAAGAAAAAAATGGTACGCCACTGTTTTTTTTTAAATAAAAATTATTCTTAAAATCTACATTAAATTTTGAACAAATTTGATCTCTCGACTTTTCTTCGTACGACGCACCGTTTTCGCGTAAAAAAATAAAAACCATTTTTATACATGACCAAAATTTAAAAAACGGCAATTTAGGTTTTTGGACATTTTGTTTCGCACTTAGGTAATAAAAACAAGATTTTGGAAAATAAAAAATTATTTTAAACTTAAGTTTGCCGTTTTAAAAAGTTTGCCATTGAAATTTACAGTAAAATTTTATGTCATGTATGAAAATGGTTTTTATTTTTTTACGTGAAAACGGTTCGTCGTACCAAAAAATGTCAAGAGATCAAATTTGTTGCAAATTTAATGTAGATTTCAAAAATAATTTTTATTTAAAAAAAACCAGTGGCGTACCATTTTTCCTTCAATAATATTTAGTACCGTAGGGACGCCACTGAATACCATAGGGACGCCACTGATAAAAATAAAGTTACTAGCATCAAAAAATGTCATTTTATGGTAAAACAACGTGTACCAAATTTAGTGATTTTCGTCCCTGAGATATTAAAAAAAAAACTCTATTTAGGGGCGAAATTCAGGGGGCTGTAAATCCGAAAAGGGGAGCCACTCGCCAAAAAGAAAAAATACGGGTCACCTATTTTTTTTTCAAGAATCTATGACCAAATTTTGTTGCATTAATTTCCGGACACCCTGTATTTCCGATTTAGCTACCATTAATGGTTCTCGAGATATTTGGAATCGAAATTTCCAATACCCGTCATCATTCAGTTAAATTAAAAATGTTGACTAAATAGTTATTAGACTAAAATCATAAATTTGAAATGGTTTTGCGGCAAAAGTTCGACAGAAACTGTTTAATCATTATTTTTTCCAGAGAAATATATGATTAATTTAAAAAAATAAAAATGTAGTACATATTTCAGTCAAATAACTATATTCAACGTGCTTATTTTTTGTTAATCAAAAAATTTTACAATTTATAGACAAAGATAAAGTAAACAAACAAGGTACACAAACAAACAAACAAAAGATAATACAAAACATTATACAAATAATATTGTCCGTCTTATTGTTTAAAATAAACATTTATATAAATATTTACAATGTCAAAGAATAAATAAAAATAAAAAAATAAAAATAAAATAAAAAATAAAAAATAAAAAATAAAAAATAAAAAATAAAAAATAAAAAATAAAAAATAAAAAATAAAAAATAAAAAATACAAAATAAAAAATAAAAAATACAAAATAAAAAATACAAAATAAAAAATAAAAAATAAAAAAAAAAAATAAAAAAAAAAAAATAAAAAATAAAAAATAAAAAATAAAAAATAAAAAATAAAAAATAAAAAATAAAAAATAAAAAATAAAAAATAAAAAATAAAAAATAAAAAATAAAAAATAAAAAATAAAAAATAAAAAATAAAAAATAAAAAATAAAAAATAAAAAATAATAAAATAAAAATAAAAATAATAAAAATTAAAAAAAATAAAAATAAAATACAAATTAAAATACGCTTTTTAAGCGAAAATGTCAAAAGTTGACATGCGATATGTCATTCTGTAAAGAGTGTCATTTTCTATCGAATATATATCGAGATCATTGTTCTAGGTTCAGAAAAAATCTCTGTGCAAAGTATCAGAGAAAATCAGTGGAGAATCAATGGTTTGCTCATTGACAATCTACAACCATATCGCAGACTAAGGATAGTGTACAATGGACTTCTACAAGACATCTCTTGTACGAGCTATGAGAAAATTGAGCATGTGCAATTCAATTTGATGTAAGTAACGCATTATTTTTAGTAACAGAAAAAAAATTAAATATAAAATTCTGGTACATATTTTCAAAAAATTATTAAGTTGATGATGGTATCTTACGAAACTTTTTGATTGAAAATCTAATAACATATCAATTGGTAGAGCAAGGAACGTAGCAATGAGAGTGTAAAATTTGAATTGTCATCTCTTTTCAAAGTTAGAATAAAATAAAAATTAAATCGGGAAGTTTCGTTTTTAGGATTCCGTACCCAAAGGGTAAAAACGGGAACCCTATTACGATTGAATAAGAAGACTAAGGAAGGAGCATAATGCTATCCATGTATTCATGCATGGTGGGCGGAAAAAGGACTCTAGGGTGGGGATCCTTGACAGTTCTGTTTGACGATTCATTTGACACATTTGAATTTGATTTGAAATTTTGTGGATTTGTCAGTCTTTATGGAGCTTATTTTATGTTATTTATTATTTATTCTACTACTAATAGTTGTATAAAGGTAGTAAATCTAGATGAAAATTGTGGCAGCACTTAAATTAACAGTGACACTATCGCGATTTATCGAAAAAGACTCTAAAATAGTTGGTTGTGTAGCGTGCGGTAGATCTCGGCAAAAATTGAGTGAAATAAGGAACAACTTTTTGCTAGTAAGTGACTACCTATATAATATACATATGTGTAGTGAACCGATCATTATACAATTTCCTTAAATTAACTAATTATATATTTTTTCTTGCATTTTTGCTTTTATTTACTACTTGTCAAAGATTAGATGTCTAAGAATTTAGATACGTCAATTTGACTTACCTGCTTCAGTAGCGTATCGGATGTTTGTGTTAATAAATAATTATTAAAACTTATCTATTTTTATTATAATAATATGTTTTTATAACAATTTTAATAACTACCAACATTTATTCACAACGTAAAATACAAAAAAAAATATTGGGTCTACCCCACGTCTACCCTACATCATAGTTGTACATTTTTTAAATAAAATTAGAACGACACTGATAAACCGGAATTTAAGTCGGCCATATTTGAGGCCCATCGCGGTGTACCTAAGATTTTTGATATGCTCCTTCCTTAGTCTTCTTATTCAAAGGGATGCGAGAAATTGAATTTTTCTAGATTTCGAAACACAGCGTTGTAGAGTTGAGCAAGGCGCAACTTTTCAATAACTTAATTATTTTTGTATCTCTTTAAATTTGGTAGATCCCTGTAGTGCGCATCTTATATGGGACATCTTGTATATCAAACGAACTATTGTTTTTTCAATTATAGATTTAACTGCTGTTCAGAACCATACTTTTTTCCCGACAATTATGATTCAGGTTTGCTGACGGAAGCATTAGCAACAAGTGTGTGGAAGGATGCCAGTTGGAAGACTTTCTTGTAAGTAAAAAATGCAGATTAAAGGCCAATTCACACATGTCAGTTACGTCTTAGTTCCGTTGCGTCAAACAGTCTCAGTTACGATAAAAATATATCGCTGCATTTAATTTCAACGGATATGTCAGTAGGCCAAAAATATTTAAAATTTTTGGACGAAAAAAACTGCCTGTCAAAAAAATTTGTATAGCTTAAACGTCAAATTTAATGATTACCACAGTCACTGCGGCAAAAAGAGAAGACATGTGGCTATCTATTTCAAAAACTCAATTTTTTGAATGTCATAGAATCTTAGTCGTAGCTGTCATGGAATTGAGCTATTAAAAATTTATCATAAATATTTTTTTCAAGCCTTGAAACCACTTTATTCTATTATATTAAAATTGTTCAAATAGCAGGTTTGTTTATAACGTTGTCGTCACCACAGGTTTTATTTTTATCTTGAAACGAAAGGAGACCACGAATTTTGGCGGAAGCATTGCCGTTAGCGAAACATCTTCGGTTTTTAGCCGAGTGAAAGGGGTTGAATAAATTACTTCATTTGTTAACGAAGCGAAGAAACGAGGTCAAACACATGTAATACTTGGAGTTTAGTTTGTTTAGAAACTTTTTTATCTCTTGTATTTTTTTGATAAAACTCACCGATTTGAAATTAAAAAATAAAATGTAAAGCATTACATGTCAGGACAAAAAACATTTTCTGATAAAGAATCTAGTGGGCTGCTGTAACTTTTTTAGGAAAAAATCTAGTCGGCCGTTGTTACTTTTTAGGATGTTCCTAATATTATTTTATTTGACATTACTCTACTGCAATACGTTATTATCTAGATGATTATTATTATCGTTATCACCAGATTCTTAATCTAAAAATGTTTTTTGTCCTGACAATGTAATGCTTTACATTTTATTTTTTAATTTCCAATCGGTGAGTTTTATCAAAAAAACACAAGAGGTAAAAAAGTTTCTAAACAAACTAAACTATCAAAATTAAAGCATTTGCATGTGTTTGATAAGATTTTTCTTTAAATTTCGTTAACAAGAATGATAAGGGTAGTTTATTTCAACCCCTTCCACTCATTTTAAAAAGTAAAATTGCCTGAAAGTGTGTTTTCATAACGGTAATGCTTCCATAAAATTTCATTAGCCTATCTCTTTTCGTTTTCAAGATAAAAAATAAAAACATTATTTTTCCGCCATCTTTGTACCGCGATATCTCCCTAATGGTTGACTTTTGACCCAACGTTTATAAAGCAAACTACCCTTTATTTTGAACAAGGAATCACCCCCTAAAGTTTTTGGCATTTGTTTTGAAACACCCTGTATATTATCTATTTATATCTGGCCATGTTATATTGCGACACTTTGTTAAAAATTCAGTATGTCATCGATCGTCATTTCCAAGGCAACTTTGCGCCGTTTTTTTTTCGATCATATTTATTAATATAACGTATGATCGATAGATATAATGTTATGGTAATTAGATATCACTAAAATACGAGATATATTTTTATAAATACACTTTATAAAGTTTTATAAGCAGTATTTATAGTATACGATTGTCAAATAATTAGTTTTTTGACAGAAAGAAACAAATTCTCTGATTGTTTGACACTTAATTTCAAAGGAAACTAGATAAAATCAAGAAAAATTTATGCTTTAAAAGTAAATGTTAAATAACTTAAAACAGATTTATTTTAGGTATAGGAACATGTATAATCAAAAAGTAGCGAATTAAAAAACCATTTCATTAGTGAAATAAAAAAAAGTGGGTTTCCATGTAACAAAAAATGGTGGTACCCAATTAAAATAAGAAAGTTGCTGTCAACTTTCGGTATTTCCGGAAAAATGATTTGCAAAAAATCTCCCATCTAGATATTGTAGTTCTCTAGTAACTTCTAATGCATGCTCAGTTTGGGACACCCCGTATACCACTATCCGTCACAGACGTTGACTAAAAATTGATACTGAGACAGTACGGCAACGGAACGGATATGTGTGATCACACCTTAATTCAGAAAGTTTTTTTAAAAATATAAAGAACATGCTATAAATTTTATGTAACTTTTATAATTTGTTTTCGGTAAAGTATTTTTCATTTACAGAGGAAAGCAGGCAAGAGGTTATGAACAATTCGGTGCGCTTATAGGCTTTGTCAAAGGAGATGCTTTTTCTGAAGATCATGTAAGTAATAAGTTTAGAAGAGTTTTAGTCATCAGTTAATGATGTTAACGTACTAGTGAAACGCGCCCAAGCAGCATTTGGACGTCGGGACAACGTTGTGTCACGCGACCAAACGTCGGGGCGCAACGTCGGCACAACCTCGTGCCAACCCTAGTCTGCACTAGTTTGGAGAATAATTTTTGGGTCGAAACGACGTTGGATACCGACGTTGGCTAGCCGCCTAATTTAGTACAAACTGCAACGTTGTTTAAAATCCTAATTCACAGAAATACAAAACTATAATAATATGGCGTCTAAGTCGCGTTTTATCCTAAATTGGGATAATTATAGTAAAAATATTATTTTTATGATTTAGTTAGAGACATATGCCAGATGGTAGTAAAGGAAAATAAAACAAAAGTATTTAAGTATGGAGGATGTTTGAAGATCATAATTATTGAAACACATTAACCGACTCTGTAACTCGTTACCCAAGGCAAAAAAGTTAAACGCAAACAACTTTATTGATAAATGTATTGTTTCTACTTTGAAAAATACTAATGGGCCTTAAAATTAAAGAAGTTTTAAAAAATTTCTTGAATTTTTTTTTGTAAAATGAGAATAATTTATTTACAGTCAAAAAATTGTTTCCGCGTGTAGTTTAGGGTCAAATATGTCAAGTTAATATGTTCAAAAAGCAGGAATTGCTATTTTACGAACGAAACGTTTTCTTATTCAACAACATGGCGGCTTTCACTTTGTTGTTTTGGAGATTAAGATGAGTAGTTCGAGTAGTCGCATACTGGACTAATAAAGTCGGAGTTCAGCCTTAACAGGTAGTATACTAGTCGCAAGATTGCCTAATTTAGTCATCCTAGAGTCTAGCTTGTGCCGCCCTCTATATTCTAAATAAACGAGGGAGTGGATAAAGTATCGGTAATATGTCGATGTATCTTTAAATTTAGTTTTATATGTACCTTTCTTAGGTCCCATTTTAATTAAGTTTTTTTATAAAAACAAAAACAGCACTGAACTGTCTGACTGAACAGAACAATGAAGTGAAAATTTAAGATTTAAGGTTATGGTTCAATACAGTTGCAAAAAGGTAGTGGCTCGACGTCCTACCAACGTAAGAATAAGGAAATCTAAACAACGCTGGAATTAGTAAAACAGACGACGTTTGCATAACGTTGGAATAGGTCCTGAAAGTGACGTCGGAAAACTCTTTATTGCCCAACATTGTAACTACGTTGTCCGAATCACCTAAAGATCACTTAAGCAAAAAAGGTTACAAGACAACGTTTATTCGACGTCGCAGAAGCTTTTACTTTGTTGTAGTATTAGTTCAACGTCGGCACAACGTTACAACAACGTTTACATTTATATTTTAATACCCAAGGTACGGAGCTAACTATTTTTTGTAACTAATCCAACGTTGTGTTTAGTAAACATTTGGTCGCAAGTCGTGAAAATGCTACTTGGGCGCGTTCAATGTCAGAAGTAAAGTATTTTCTAGCATTATGGTGAATTAGTGTTTTTTTTTGTAGTAACACCAAAGACTTTGGCTTGACCTCGCCAAAATTGTCATCGATTGTCAGCCGTCTTTGACGCTGTTTTATTTCGATCGTATAGTATAATACAATCCATATTAAATTAATCTAAACTTTTGTGGTTGAAATATAAAACTTTACCAAGAAGTCACACTTTTTTCTTGATTTATACTTTCTGATTTCACGGAAAGCGGCTCTGATTTATAATTTATGTGGCTGCTATCAATTTTTCCGTGTTCCACCCCGTATCATGATTTACTGGATTAATTTTCAGTCGTTTTTGCACAGATTTCGGCCCCCTTTTAATGGGCCATATATTCAGTCCGCCCTTTTATTAAGAGGGCCCTTCTTGCCCTTTTAAAACTTCCTCTTCAAATTTACTGATTTAATTTTTTTTAAAGCCAAAATATAGTTATTTACACTTATCTGTGGTTATTACACTATATCTAGTCTTGTATAAAAAATAACTATTAGATTCTTTTATAGATTGTTATTGTTAATTTTGATTAACGTTGTATTTTTTGCTATTTTAAGATATAAAAGATGCACAAAATCTATAATCCCCATTTCCATCGAAGCATTGAAATAAATAAATTTTCTGCTTATTTAACATATTAAAACAGCAAAACATTGAAATGACGTTTAATCAAAATTAATAATAACAATCTATCAAAGAACGAAAACGAAATGATATTACCCTAGAAACTTTTTTTATTTTGAGAACTTTTAAATTCAACTAAATTTTTATATTTTTTAATAGTTTTATAAAATGGTATGGAAACAGAGTTAACCATTTCACAAAAAGCAAAAACTTTTATCAAAACTTTATTTTTCTCATATTGGATTATATTTGTTTTTTTTTAGGTTTTACATCTTCCAACGTGTAGATCAAAATATCATGGACCAGATGACAGATACTTATTAAACAGAAGTGTAAATATATTTTTAGTGGATAGTCATGGTGTACTAATTAATTTAAATTTGAAACTATATGTAAATGGGGACACTCAGTAAGTATTAAATTAATTAATTAAATACAGGGCGTTTTGAATGTATTGGTTCTTAAAACAATCTTGTTAAAAACATATTTAATATATTATTACTGAAAATATGTTTTTATATAGGAAGTAAATTTGGTTAAATTAATTAATTTTTTTTTGTTTTCAAAATTATGTAATTATTCTATTTCCACGTAATACTGGGACGCCCTGTATAAAAACCAATTTAAAAATTTATTTAAATAAATAATATAAACTTAACAGGATGTTTTCTAGTAATTTACGGTCAAAAAGAACTATTAAAAACCAATTTTTATATAATATTTACGTAAAACTTCAGCAAATATTTACCATACAGAAAATATCAACCGTATCAAAACGTTATTCAATAAAAAAGGAATTATTGAAGCTTTTGGGGGAAAATATAACGTACATGAAAAGCTTTTCGCATATTCATGCAAATAAGTTTTTCATATTACCAAAAAAAAACTTTGTATGTTAATATATTTTTTTAAATATTCAAGATTAAATTGATAAATTATACTGAGTGTAAATAAATAAGAACAAAAATATCGCTAAGGGATGGATTTTATGTTGGGAGAGTGAGATAAATTTAACATTCTTGGATTTGACATTTTTCTGCAAAGTTGTGTGCTTATACCGTGCTGGCAACTGTTACTCTTGGGTCGGTATTTACATGTGTGGAAGTAAAGCGCATAGGGATCTTATTAAGTCGGAGTGAGAGAAACGCAACGGTGTGCTGTTGCGGCGTTGCCGGTACGCTTTTCCCTATCAAGTAAAGTAAAATCACGATCGCAAACCGCTTATTTGTAAAAGACTTTTTTTTTTCAAGAGATAACTAGATAAGATTATTAGACATGTTTCTGAGCATCTGAAATGGAATTATAAGGATATGATTAGGGTATAATTTTTTTTATAACTAGAAAACGTCATTAATAGCGATAATTTAAAACTCAACTTTTTAACACATAACAGGCCATAACTGAAGAACCACTTTAGATATTGAAACTTTTTTTATTTTCAAGATCGGATATATGTTTACATAAGAAAAATTCGATAAGGTTGTTTTTTCCATTCAAAAATTGTAAACAATCCATCCATTTACTTTTAGAGCATAGCAATTTTCAGCAATCGTGTAATTTTTTTTATTGATAAAAATTTTCACATACTGCCTACAGCTGAAAAACAGCAGAAATGATAACAAAGTTCTTGAAAAAACTACAATCTATTATTTCTAATAGATTTCGAGATATCGATTTTTGAATTCAGAGTTCTAATAGCGCAACCACTATCGAACACCCACTCAATTCCACTTATTTTTACCAAAAATGCAAGTGTTTCTAGCTTGCACTTAAAAAAATTCAAGCTATAGGGAAAATTACAACGGCTCGTTAATAAATAAACAAATTAAGTATCACGAGACTTAATTAAATCGTGAAGCTGAACGCATGACGTACACCTTTCCCTGAAACTTTGAGTACTGACAGAGGTATTGATTGGGTCGACCGGTCAACTGCGACAAGTCTGTATATCCCCTTCCACGTCTCTTAGCGATGTGCACAGTTTCTCGGTTTATTTCATACGTTTGGCAACGTGTTTGCTGTCCTCTCTTTGTTCAATTCAAAAACTTTTTCATAGTCAGATAATGACTTCACCAGCCTTGACTGTGCAGCTATGCCTTTGAAAAAAAAACGGTATGTGTGTGACTACCTTTATATCCACACACAAAAGAAAGATTATAATTTATTCGATAAAATTCTGGTTTTTGGCTCACAGGCCAACAAATTGCTACAATGCCTAAGCGGTTGGTCACGTTTAAGCTTGACTAATTGAATTTTATAGAGGTCGCTTTGCGCTGCTGGGGGAATCCCCTTTATTTTATTGTATCCGTGTGTCGTTGTTGTTTCAGTTTGAATTATGGTCATGTGATACACAAATACAATGAAACCGTACCAATAACGAGGCAAGATTTACGCATCGAGTGCGTTGGTGGGAACAAATCGGTGCCAGATTTGATCGTTGTGCATATTAATAGTGAGTATGAACAATAGAAATTTTGACCCTTTTTAATTTTAAAGGTACTTAGTGCTAATAGGGTAGTTTTAGTTGAAAATACGATTTTTTTTATTTTTTGCCTGTACTATATTTGTACTCTCTGGATATACTGGGTAGTGCATCCTTGTCAAACAAACCTGTATCTATTTTTAAATTAAAACTGAACAAGGTAACCATTCAAAACCAGTCAAACGTCAACATATTTTAACTTATCTACCTATGATTTATATCATTGCCTGATGATATTTGTTGTGCTGTTTTCATGTATCTACGCTTAGTGTTCCCGAAGTGTATTTTTGTTAATAATACTAATAATTAAAAAATTAAACTGGTTCGAATGAGGCAAAAGCCTAACGTTTAGACATAGATAAAAGAAACAAGTTTAGATTGGAAATGCCCATAAGAACCTTTGAATAAGAAGACTAAGGAAGGAGCATATCAAAAATCTTAGGTACACCGCGATGGGCCTCAAATATGGCCGACTTAAATTCCGGTTTATCAGTGTCGTTCTAATTTTATTTAAAAAATGTAAAACTATGATGTAGGGTAGACGTGGGGTAGACTCAATAATTTGTTGTTTTATTTTACGTTGTGAATAAATGTTGGTAGTTATTAAAATTGTTATAAAATATATAATTCTAATAAAAATAGATAAGTTATAATAAGTATTTATTAACACAAACATCCGATACGCTACTGAAGCAGGTAAGTCAAATTAACGTATCTAAATTCTTTGACATCTAATCTTTGACAAGTAATAAATAAAAGCTAAAATGCAAGAAAAATATATAATTTAGTTAATTTAAGTGAATTTCATAAATGATCGGTTTACTACACGTATGTATATTATATAGTTACTTACTAGAGCGAAAAGTTGTTCCATTATTTCACTCAATTTTTGCCGAGACCTACCGCACGCTACACAACCAACTATTTTAGAGTCTTTTTCGATAAATCGCGATAGTGTCACTGTTAATTTAAGTTCTGCCACAATTTCCATCTAGATTTACTACCTTTATACAACTATCAGTAGTAGAATAAATAATAAATAACATAAAATAAGCTCCGTAAAGACTGACAAATCCACAAAATTTCAAATCAAATTCAAATGTGTCAAATGAATCGTCAAACAGAACTGTCAAGGATCCCCACCCTAGAGAGCTTTTATGGTGGCTTTTCCGCCCACCGTGCATGAGTACATGGATAGCATTATGCTCTTTCCTTAGTCTTCTTATTCAAAGATAAGAACTATGGAAATACTACTTGGCGCTATTTTTACAGCGGTTGCTCTCCAGAACTTTTGATAGTTTTGGAGTTTTTTCCGGAATTATGTCGCCAAAAGTTATTTATTCAAATTTATTATTATTTTCTGTTAATTTTTTAAATAAAATACAGTGTGTTGCATAAAAGAAACTTTATTTTATACAAGGCCATGAATGAAATACCTATGAAATATTGGAAACCGACGTTATGCCACGATCCACGATGATTTTTGCAGTTCACAGTTCCCACAGCTTCTTAAGTTTTTAATGCCACTTTTGCACAATTATCACGGGTTTGAGTAAATGCAATTTAAATTAAACTCACAAGATAGCAATAATTACTTTGTAAATGGAGGCTTAAGACATTTTTCGGTATTTTTTCAATGAGGGCAGTTTAAATTTTAAAAGATTTTATAATTTTTACAGATTCTGACTTTGACAGATGGTAGATACTACACCACCCGGTAGATGCTTACTATAGTGTAAATTATTATTTTTATCTCTATCTATAAATCTTTTATTTATCTCCATTTTTAACCGAGATCATCACACACTGCACAACTAATAATTATTTTACAGTATTTTTGTGGAATTTGCAATAATATCACTATTAATGTAAGTTCTATCACAATATGCTTCTAGATTTACTATTTTTTTTATATATTTCAAACAATACGTAATATGATATGAGTTCATAATTCTTCAATATATGATTCACATATCTTAATTTTTTATAACCTTTTTGCTATTTTAGAATTCATATTATGTTTGTTGCTTAAATATTTTTGTATTAAGATAGACTTGTAAAAAACATTTTTCTTCGAACGCCATAAATTGAAGGATTAGTTATACTTTCTTTCTTTTGAAATAAATCTTTTTAAGGCAAAGCCAGAAAAATATACTTGCATGGATTTCTATAGAAAGGTTGAGAAATATTCTTTTCGTTCTGCATTTTTTTATTTTAAGAGAATTTTAAGAATATAAACCAAATAAAAGTTTATTATACAGATAATACACAGGAATATGTTTTTTAATTTTAAGTTAAGATTAATAAAAAAACTTTTTTTAAATTCATATGTTTACAAAATACGAAATAATTCATATTATGTTTTTTTAGCTAAAACAAAGGAATATTTGTGTGCCCTTGATTTGAATAAAAACGCAATCTCTTCTGTGGGATCAGATGAGTCTGATTTTGAACTACTCAGTGTTCCAGCGGAATGTAACATTAATAGCAGACAGGGAAAAAGTTTAGCGGAATTTTGGTACTATAATACAAGCGGTGAGTATACAAATCTTTTGATCTTAGGCTAGATGTTTTAAAACGGTTTTGTTCTTTCTGTGTGCGATCAGGCTTATACACATTTTTTATTTTTTTACGTCATAACAATTATTTTTCTCCTGATAAAAATTATATTATTATTTACATCTTTTAGGTAACATTATACTTCCTCAAATAAAACCACTATTGCTTGAGAAAAAAGTGAAAAACTTGCCTGAAGATTTAGTGGTTAATATTCAAGATGAAAATGCAAAGATACTAAACTTAACAGGTGGTAAAGGGACATCTTTAGCACTTTTGGCAACAATGAGTACTGAAGAGGTAAGAAAATATGATAATTTTATATGTTCTCTTTTAAAGAAATTATATATTTACGTTACAAATCCGGTAAATCAACTTTTACAGTATGATTGAGATATTTTTATGAATTTTGAAACAAATAGTAGATTGTAAGAAAGCATCAAACTCAACTGTTTTTTAGTTATTTTTTATGCAAGACGATAATGCAATTTTATCGTCGTGTATAAAACAATATCTTTTTCCATAGCGAGTTACCGTTTAAAAAAAATATTCAGAAATTATTATTTCAAGGAATTTATTACGAGTAGAAAAAATATTGTGCTGGGTTGGCGTTGGTTGGTTTATTTGACAAATAAATAAAGCTGTCTCTTTAGTTGTCAGTTTTGAGTCACTATTTTTAAACGGTTTTATTTAGCTCGACCCGTACGGTATTTATTTATTTGTTTGTTTATTTGGGTCAAAATTAGAAATTGAAATTTAAGTACCTCCCTGTTGTGATATTGATCTGAAATTTGGTACACACCTTTAGTTCCGATGACAATACAATATAGTAATATCAATAACATTGTAAATCTAAGATGGCCGCCGGTACAAAATGGCGGATTTCCTATTTTTCCACAACCCCCTCAATATGGGTACCAAATGAAAGGGCTACACTAGTAGAATACTGTGATTATGACAAAATTTAAAATCCAAGATGGACGTCGTTACAAAATGGCGTATTAGGTGAGGGCATGAGTAGTCGTGTCCAGAACAGTTGTGTCCAAGATTGTGTGACGTTAGAAGGACACATAAAAAAAATAGGTGATTAGATGTACCTACGTAGTTAGCGGTAGCTTTACCACCCAAGTTGAGGTAATAGGTTAAAACGTGCTGAGGACTGTATGGCATTAGGGTGGCTAAAAATGTAATGTCGCAAGCGTTTTCCCCTCAAGATTGGGCGCCTCTTATTGTATATTATAGCCTTGCCCCTCTACTGGGCCTCTGGGGGGGTCGACTGTTAAAATGTTCATTACCCGTGGGAACAACATGGAAACAATAAATAAAAAAACAAACAAAAATAAAAACGAAACTGCTACACAACGAAAAAGAAGGCTCGAAAAGGCGAAAGAAAAGTATAGAACGAAACGTGCAAAAGAAAGTGAAAATGAAACCTATAGTCGACTACAGAAACGAAGAGAACGGTTAGCAACAGAAACACCTGAGCAACATGATGCCAGGTTAATAGCACAACGTGAGAGGCAAAGACAGCTGGTAGAGGCAGAAACACCTGAGCGTCATGAGTCCAGGCTAGCATCACAACGTGACAGACAGAGAGAGTTGTTAGCGGCAGAAACACCTGAGCGTCATGAGTCCAGGCTAGCATCAGAACGCGACAGACAAAGAGAGTTGTTAGCGTCAGAAACACCTGAGCGTCAGATTGTAATAAATTATCAGGTAAAAAACCATGTAATAATGATGCACTAAATGAATTAAATAGAATGAGGAATATTCGGTAGGCATTTCCGTTAAATACTAAAAACTAGAAAATAAAAAATCGGTAAAAAACTTTTAAGTTAAACGGTTTTATCTTATGTGCACTGAAAACTAGAAAATAATAATAATAATTAGGTATTTTGAACTTCTAGTTCAGAAATATTTTAGTACTAGGCAGAATAGCTTTTAGGCATATTAGACTAAAATAAAAACGTGGGGCCCATTAACTATTGCTGTAATAATTTCTTCTATACTAAGTGTGGATTGCATCGACTTACTATAATCGTAACTGGAGATTTTGACAATCGATAATCAGCAAAAATTTTCAAAAATGGAAGCAATTAAAAAACGTGCGAGAAGAAATAAAGTTTTTAACCTATCCTCGTTGATCAATTATCATTTAATCTACCAATGCGGTTAAAGTACTATTTTATCTACTATTTTTGATAGATATAAGCATAGACAAACAAATAAAAAGAGACTGGCAAATTAAATGGCAAAGAGATGGACAACGTTCCCGTAGCGCAACTCGAAACGCAAAATTTTGTTATATTTATGTTGATCTGCGCATTGCGTCTATTGGACCCACTATCTCATTCTAATATAACAAGAGAGAAAGAAGCAGCCATATAAAACGTAATTTCTAAATAGAAATTAGAACAATCGCCTTTCGTTTTCGTCATCATAACAACCAAGATCATATACACCAAGATGACAACATCATGACAATTCGTCATGTTTATTAATTTTTCTTTTGGTGATTTACCTTTTTTTCTAAACTCTCCATTTTATTGACTTATGAATATGGATAGGGAACAAATTCCTTTGTTCCATATAGGTATTTATATTTTGTTACTTATAATTTTAGGTTATACTATTTGTTATTTTATTTGCTGCAGGAGCCAGTATCATCTATTTTTTATATGTATTGGTGCCCCCTTTTTCTGATAGATATGTTAAAGACACCCGGTGAAATAAAAGTAAGTAGTTATATTTATCATCTTATTAAGAAAAAAGTAGAAGTAGTAGTGTCAAAAATATTTCGAACCTCTCTTAACATAACAAATTAATACAATTAATTTTTTTAATTTTTTGGGTAGGTAGTTTATAGCTGGTTTATAGTAACCAGAAACTTTATTAATATACCTATTTTACTTTTGTTTTAGGATTAAAACTAGACTTGAAAATGGTTCAGGATCATGATTCTCGTAAAGTCTTCTTTGCTTGGATATTCACTTTGTTATTGCAATTAGGCAGTTTTTTCGAAAATGAGATTTTTAATACCCTTTAAAAAAATTGGCCAATCGTTTCCTGTAACAGTCAGTTCTTCTGCATTTAAAATTGGTAGGTGGGTGGAATAAATACTGTTATTTTTTGTTAATATATTATAAAAAATTTATTTATTTTTATTTATAAATAAATATGTTTATAAAACAGTACAATTTTTGCTTTTTTTATAATTACCCTTGTAATAGAAGTATTCTTTCGTTCTGAAAGTAACTGCAAATTTTCACTTAAACTGATTTATTCCCTACACCACGTTCCCGTTACGTGGTATAGGGAATAAATCAGTTTAAGTGAAAATTTTCAGTTTCAGAATGAAAGAATACTAATAATAATGGCAAATTTAAATTTCCCGCCAGCCATAATGTGCGATAATGTCTTACGATACGTTTTATACCTATCTCTTTCTTTTTCATATAAAGCACACATAATAAAGAAAGATAGCAATAAAGACGTACGTCCTGCCATGGTCCTGCTAGTTGGTTTCAAAATTGTTATTCTGAGTTGCGCTACGGGAACGCGGTCCCACTCTTTACCATGGAATTTGTCAGTCTTTTTTTATTTGTTTGTCTATGGATATAAGGCAATTTTAACAGTTGCTATGTAAAAAATCATTTTCTTTATTAAAAAAAGACAAATATGTACCATTAAATAGAAAGTACCATTAAATATTTTTTAATTTCGATATTATTAACCAGAAATGTTTAGAGTAACGATGTTAAAGTAAATAAGCCTTTTAAATTGACCTTCTCGATACGATCAAAGAAGTAGAAAATACTACAAACGACCTTATTAGCTATAACAAGACAAATCGAATTTTTGAATTTATTTTAATATCTTTTTTTCATCCATATAAAAGTCTTGAATAATATGAAATTTGAATATTTTATCTTATATTCATCTTTACTTTGTTAGTTATCCTTTGTTAGGCAAATTTACAGTATAATGTTAATATTGTTCATAAACTTGAATAATTCATTTACCTTGATAATTTTTTTCTGAAATAAATTTCTGTCGAAAATTGACATTTTTTTAAAACAAAATACAAATTATTGCAGATCAGTTAAAGCAATTCGTTGTTCGCGTATTTATTTTGGTCCTTGTTAGGATTTAGAAGTGCTTGCGATGGGCAAACTAAGCCAATTTTGGCCAGCAAAAGTAATTAGTTTAGTTTGAATTGATTTGTTTGGTTCAATTTGAGTTAACCTCTCGAAATTTTAACCAATGATGGTAGAGAATGCTATGCTGTCGATGAATAATTTGAAGGGACGAGATAAATTATTCGATTTTTGAGTTGTTGTTGACATTGACTTCTTCATAGCTTTCACTTGAAGTTTTAAAAAATTTTGTTCTATACAAAGTTCTCTGGTTTAAAAATATTTTCCTGCAAGTTATTGTGTGTCAAAGTCTATTAAAAAATGAAAATAGTTAATACTCAATTTCAAATTAACAATAATTGTATTGTATACCGGGTGAGTCTCGAAAGTGATTCACCCCCTATAACTTTTTTATTTTTTCAGAAAAAAAAACGAAATTTGGTATGTTAGTATATGACATAAATTTAGATTGATTGACGTATTCAACTGTTTTTGTTCACTTCCTGTTTCACCAGAAATGAATATAACTTTTGATTTTTAAATGACAACCTTCGTATTTTTTTACATTATTCGATATAAAATGACACTCTGAGTAGAATGACATATCATATGTCAACTATTGACATTTTCGCATATGGTTTACTTAAAATTGTAACATGCCGTTCATAACGAAAATTTGAAAAATGCTTTTTCCAAATATACTAACGAGCTAACCTCCTTTCATTTGAAAAAATTGGGATATGATGAAAAATAGGATTTGGAAATCTTTTAACCGGCTAGGACAAGAGACGAAAAAGATTAGACGATCAAATCTGTTTTTCTACGGCTCCTTGATTAAAAATTAGTGTTTTTAACACAGTCACACTCTAGCCTAAAATTTAAAATTCGATATAAAATACGAGTGTCATTTTTTATCGAATAAAGTAAAAATACACCGAGTTTGCCATTTAGAAATCAAAACTTGTAGTCGTTTCCGGTGAAACAGGAAGTGACCAAAAAACAATCGAATACGTCAATCAATCCTAATTTATGTCATATACTAACATACCAATTCTCGTTTTTTTTTATCTGAAAGAATAAAAAAGTTATAGGGCTTTTACTCCGAATAGAACATGCTATTTTTTTAAACGCGACAAATAATTTTTTAAACAATTTTAAACGTGC